TTTTTGTCGTACAACGTAAATAGAAAAATAAATTCCGTAAATTCTGTAATCACAGGCTAGACGTACAACGTAATCAATCAAATATTTTTTTCGTACACTGTAAAAATGTGTCATTTTTCTCGTACGTACAAAAAATCACGTCCAAATAAAAAAATCGTAAAGAATAATCCAGGGAAATTACATTTTAGAAACTGTAAAACGACAAGATGACACAATTCACTACAAAATTGAACGTCAAGACGTAAAAGGCCCTCTAACCGAATGAAGAGCATTACGAGGGTAATATGCGCATGCGTCTCTTCACACGGCGCAGCAATGGTGGAGAATTTGAGTCGGAGAGCTCTTCGAACCATTCAATGTTCCATTTGTTAACACTGTACACTGTAAAAACGTCTTTTTTTCTTCGTAAATTGTGAAAAGCCTTTTTTATTTCCCGTAAAACCGTACCAGCTACCCCCCTTGCCTCTCCTCTATATTATTGAAAATAACATGCTTGCATTTCTGAGTTGAACAGTTTTTTTAAATTATTATAAATTATTATAAATTATTATAAATGCATGTATTTTCTTTTGTCTGAGCTTGGGTGGTGGTTATGTTCCTCTAGGGGTCAGTCGTATATTATAGGGAACGAGAAAAAATATCCCTTTAAACATAAACTGTTTTGTAAAAACGAAAGACCTTTATCTACATGTTCTCGGCCACTGGAATATTTGTTATTTGCGCCAGTGGAGTAATGTGAACAGAAACAGACAACCGCGGTCAAACAGGTCACCACGTTTTGTGCGAGACGACGGAAATCAAAATTTCTTTAATAATAACATTGCACGAATTGCTACTGAGGACACTCGTTTGTCAATCTGATATTGTTTGATCAATGTACACAAGCAGCCGACTAAGATACTTTCTGAAAAAGTGGCCAGGAAAAAAGACCCTTGGTGTATACCGGTTTCTACCCTTGTTTTTTGTAGTTGGTGCTGGATTGGAATGGGTTATGATAAATGCTAAAGTTGCCCCTGGCGGAGAAACATTTTGTAAGTATTAAGTATCGTGTATTCAACCGATGTGATATTTTAAATGATGGCAATACTGGTTATAATAGACATTATATTTATTGCTATAAATCACTGTGATGCAGATTTCATTGGGGGGGGGGGCAGAAATCAGACAAACATTTGTAACTAGGTACGTAGAGAAGAAAATGCATGCGAAGTATTACAGGAAAAAATACTATAAACTAATTTATTTTCGCTTGGAATTAATGTTCGCTATTTTCACTGAAGGAACGATTCAGTGAAAATAAAATTCAGCGAATATACTATTTTTGCTATATTTTACATTCAACTCGTCAAAAATCAGTGAAAATAAATTCCATACAAAACACCCAAAAAGAATTTTCAGCGAAAATTAATTCCAGCTAAAATAAAGTATTTTACAGTAGCATATTCAACAAAAATAAAAAAATATACATATGAGACACTATGCAAGTCACCCCAAATGATTTTAAAGAAAGAGTTCTTTTGCACCCCACCCCTAACACTACCCCTACCCTCCAGCGCTCCCCAATTTAATCGTATATTATATTCATATTACAGATGATGTGTATAGAAGAAAACAAGCTGAAAGTTTAGCAGAGGCAGAAGACAAAGCCAGACAAGAAGAGCAATAAAAACATTCAAAACTTGTACATTATATTTCAAGTGAGGAATTCATCAGTACACTATTAAAAATGCCTGCAGGAGTGCCATGGCCTCCCTATCTGAGGTTTTTAGCTGCTGGTCTATTATCAATGCTTGCCGGAGCCCAAATGGTTCACTATATATATAAACCAAACTTAGTAAGTTGTACTTATAAAGTGGTAGATCTTCAGCTTTTCAGTATTTTATCAGTATTATTGTAAATCTACCATTAATTGGACCATGAACAAATAGTAGTTTTATTTCTCATCAAGGTGGATCAATAGTATCTGAATGTTACCATTACCTGTCAGGTGGTTGAATAGACCATTTCCCATGTTCTGCATAAAATCAAACATAAAAAAAGGACAAACAAAGGTCTTAGTGTTCTATTGACGTCAAAGCTTCATGTGGGATTTGACAAATGTGAAATGTGATTTTTGGGTATTTTCATGCTTAATAATGTGCTATACACATTTGATGATTGTCAATTTTGATGAAGTAAGGGTATCTCAACCCTATATTTCCATCAGGTGTCTTGGCATTTCAACATTGAACTGTAAAAAAAGAAACTCTGGTTCAAAGTCGTATCATTTGATTTTTGCAGAAGATGAAATCAGGTGGTTTAAATAAAGAATTATTACAGTACTGTTGCCTTACCAAATGATTTCATTGTAATCGTATTGTGCATATTGAATAACCAAACATGATACACTAATTTGTTTTTGTTTGTTTTTCTGGATGCAGCAACCTGTGATGGCAGAGGAAGATATAGCTGAAGAAACCATGAGAAATGGGGATAAACAGAATAATATTGATATTTCTACAAACCAAGTTTCTTGATTAGTGTTTTAACTGTTTTCACAGGAAGCTTTAGTATTTGCTTAAAATTTGTTTTAAGTATTACAATTTTCACATATCACATTAAGTGATGCTGTTTGTTTGCATGCATATTGGGAGTGAAGTTTACCATGCATAAAACCATACCAAATCAGGAATGTAATGACATATTCAATATTGCCATATATGATTTAGAATTTGTATACAATCTATGATTATTACTTGTAAAAATGAACAGAAAATGCATCTTAAATTTCGCACATGTTATTGTAAATTCAACTTTCTCTAATTCAGTTTGTTTGATTTAAAGACATGGTATGAAATAAAAACAATCTGTTCATTATTCTGTGTAACTTTCATTTTATTCACTCTATTAAAAACACATTTCAAATAAAAATGTATATATACCAAAAATTAAATCTGACATGTACCAGATCAACTGTTCTCGCCAGACACGAAACATTTGCTTCATGGTTTAATTTTTTGTCAAAGGTTTGTCACTCTCGTGAGACAAATGGAAAGAAAAGACAATTCATAAATGTAAAATAAAATTCAAACATACCGGTAATAAACATTTGAGCGTTTTTAGTTCATGATGAAATAGTCAAATGTATATATTATTTTAGGGTATCAAACAAAACTGAAAATTACATGTTTTCATTCATTTATCTTTTACTGCAGGCATTTTTGTGCCTCGTGGTAATCCCATGCTGAAGCTCACAGAATCTGAGGGCTTCTTTTCTCCCTTGATTATACGATGTCAAGTCACTAGAATTAGTTACCTACATGTCGTTTGTTCTGAAATTTACTGTGCCATCAAAGGTGTGATTGTATACAGAATCATACATTACTGAGCTTACTCCGAAGAGTTATTGGTTGTATCTTGACATTGAGCTAAACTTGTAGAATATATAACGTCAAACAAACATAAAACGACACAATTTCATTTATTTCAGGATATTTAAAAAACATTTGTAATCTGATAAAAAGAAAACTTGACAGTCAAAGTACACTGTTACGAAAAGTTTTCTGAGTAGGTAAGACAAAACCTTGGATATTGTTGAATAAATCCAAATACACAGAAGATGCATAATGTATATTTGACTAAAAATGAGAACAGATATATTTACATATGCATAACTTACACAATTGCCTTTTATTCAATAAAAGTGTTTTTGCAATTGATCACAAATATATAATACACCAATGAACAAGATTACATAACTGCTTTTTTAAACTAAAGAGGGTGACAATACTTGCAATATTTAGCACTGTAAACAAATATTTACACTAGAGTTCATTAGATGTACAGGATTCCTTCAAATAATAAAAGCTGCAGTTTCACTCTAGTATTCCTTTTTAAATAGTGACTAGAGAAATAATTTTAATGAGAACAGTAAATTATTCTGAAATTATAAAACCGAATATCTTTTTTATATTCTTGCAAGATAAATTTGAGAATTTATTGAAATACTGTGTTTTAGCGCTTACAATATTAACAATAGGGGTGGATTCCCTTACCAGATTGTGAGAGTTGAAATGAGAATTTTTCTGAACGCCCTCTATTGATCAGGTATGGGAAATGTAGCAAAAAGGACAGCCAAAATTTGTTCTAACCAAGAATCATTTTCCTTGTGAGTAAAAAAAACCAATGTTTCGATAAATTGATCTAACTTGGTAGTATACAGCCTTATGACTAAAATTTGCATCTTCTCTTTTCTCTAAATAAAAAAAATCATTTCAATTTGGCCTGCTCCCTGATGAACTACATAGTTCTACTAGTCTGTTGAGTTTTTGATATGGGTTCAATGCAATGTTTATAATGCACAATATTTGATGACTGCGAAACTGCTTTGAGGAAGATACTACATAGTACAGTATGACAGTTACAAGTGGAACGGCGTTAATCTAATATGATCAGATCTCTGGGGATGCCGCAATACAATACCATGTCGAATTAACAATTCTATATACATCGGCCAGTAAGAATCGATGATAGAAATATAAGGATCGTGTGGACTATCCAACTGCTTTTTCATGAGTTTCTGTTGAGAAAAAAATAATAATGCCCCAGTGATTTTTGTAATCTACGGTAAATACTGAAACAAAATGATCTTTGTGAAACAAAACGTTAAGACATTCAGGTAAATGTAATCAGTACATAGAAAATCATTTTTTGTTCTACCGGTAGTTATGGTTACTGTAAAATCTGTATTAGAAGCCACTACTTCTATTAAAATGGTACAATGCAACAGAGGATATGTGGCTTCTATTACTGTAAAATCTGTATTAGAAGCTGCGGCTTCTATTAAAATAATACAATGCAACAGAGGGGATGCGGCTTCTATTAGAGTATCTACACATATGAGAAATGGTGAATTTGTTATTCTAATACCGATTTTACGGTACAGTAATGAACTACACATACAAGAAATGATGAATTTTGGTTCTCAATTGTTGAAAAAGAACGCATGCATTTTTTATTAGGGATGTAGTTTCTACCCGGTAATATTGACTGATTTGACACAAGGAAATGTTTCACTGTGGTAACCATAGGAAAATAACCTGTTGCTCATCAATCATTACGAATAATTGTTTTTGTTTTTCTGATTTAAAAGGGTAGTAATTCATACATTCATTATTATGTACTGGATTTGCTCTATTAGATGCAAAAATGTTTATTGTAAATACAGAGGTGAGTCTATACATTTGAGTACATTTCAATGAACTAGCATGCATCTATTTGGTTAACAGTAAAACTGTGGTAGAGAAATGCTTCATTGCATATGTTACCTACCCTGATTATTTTATATATATTAGTGTATTTTGGCCTTGAGGGCGTCACCTGAAAACAAATAGATAAACAGTCATTTATGCAAGACAAGTGTGAAACAGTGATCTTGACAAACAATGGTTTTATCAGATTTGGCCATGTTTTTGGGGTTTCCATTAGGATTTAGAGTGTGTGGGGGGAGGAAAGTCAGGGGAGAAACTTCAAATGAAATACAAAATCCAAGTTTCTAAAGTAGCCAGAAAATGGTTGAAAAGCAGCTGGGCAAACTTATTGGTTACCAGCTCTTAATGAAAAGCCTGGCTTAAACATTCAATAAAACAAAACAAGTATCATACAATTATTGATTTAGATACTTGTCATCAACTTTTATGGATTTCTCACTTAGTATGATATATATATATCTTTGAAAAGAAACTGTTTTGAGAGTATAATTTGGAGCATTACCTTATGAATCCCTTTCAGTAAATCCTTAGATTCAGGTGAGGGAAAATGTTTTATCAAAAAATCACTTAATTGGCTGTCAATCTGGTCCAAATATTCAGCCATTTGTTCTTTTTTTTCTATCGCTTCTCTAATATACCTGTATATATTCACAAAAACAGAAAACATACAACATGTTATTGATCATAGAGTTCCTAATCCTGATTCCACAGAGTGAGTGTCATCTCTTGCCCACTCAAACATGGATCCTGCTACAGAAAAATGAGGTGGATGCGCACTGTGTTTGACAAAACAAACAAACTAAACTTACGCTTATATTTATTGACAAGAACCTTGACTTTCATAACTGGTTACCCTAAATGAACATCCACCAATTTCAATCTCTGCTGACTGGGGATCAAAACAATATCACCAATGCGAATGACATACTGGAAACATGTATTTTATTAATTTCTTTAAATACCTATCAGGTCCTTGGTGAGCACTTTCCAGTTCTTGTACTTTCTTTTCAATGGCTTGTTTGACTTCTTTTTGTTTCTCAAGGACCAATTTCTTCCTGTAGAATAACCACGGTAACTACTTGTATTAGGATAATCAACAAGAAATTATTAATTTGACCAAAAACAGCAGTTTCAGCATTATTCTCACAAAAACATGAGGTGCTTTTTGTGTGGATGACAAAAGTTTCTCAGTAGAGATCCCAGAATGCAATACCCATATTTAATTATATTAGTGGAGCAGATTTCAAACAAGAGAAAACAATTCACAGAGGCTTTATCAAGAATTCACTTCTGCACATTCCTAAATTATTAGAAACCCACATACTTTTTCAATTTTTCTTTCAGAACCTGTTTTTCATACTCCATACAAGAGAGAAGTTCTTCATGTTGTTTTATAGAGGTTTCCAAGTTATCTTTCAACACAGCCTTTTTCACTTCTTTATTAGTTGATAAAGCTGAAATCAAAACATGTAGTGAATATATTAACAAGCATAACTGTGTCTATCATGTGCTGCTATGCAAGCATCCACATGAGGGCAACAAGTCCCTAATTATCCGTATCACTCTTTCTCACAGTAGTACTGGTACATGCAATTTGCTATTGAAAACATGCTGAAAATAAATGATTAAATATATTACAAAGATCATTTCCTTAAATTTGTCAATGCCCTACAACAGTTAGAAAACTATTGAACTTTTTTCACCACAAATAAATCCCAAAAAAATATTTTGTTACCATAATGGCTACTCCCACATTTTGGCACTCTGCAGGACATTATTTTGCAGGGGTACTTCCATTCTGACAGAAGATGCCATTTATAAGTGCTGTAGTTGTACAGTTGCTGTATGTTGTATTTTACTTTTTGTGGTTTTTTGCTTTAGTACGGTATATCAAACATTTGAATGGTGTGTAGTTAACAAATGTACATTAATTTTTCATTCAACTTATAAACGGTTAACTTGTACATACTACTTTTATTATTATATTTCATTTATTTTAAGATTTTTGAATAAAAACTTAGAAATGTAAATACATTATTTTATAACGAAACTAGTAAATCATTTTTTGATTGTTTTGCAACATTATGATGATACATAACAGATAAACTGTAGTCTTTATAAACTTTAAATTACCTTTCATGGTAGCTTCTTCAATTGATTTGATTTCAGCATGTAATTTTCTCTCCTTGGCTTGTAATATTTTCACTCTCTGAAATGAATCGAAGACAAGGCACGTCATTGATTGGTTGATTGAAAATTGTTATAGAGCCCTCTATGGTACAAATCCACTTTTTGAATTCATTTGTTTTTTGCATGTTTATTGTAGATGTAATACATATACTACAGACAATAATTTTCACCGCAGGGAATTTTGCGATTTGATAATTTAAATGGCATTCCTGGGGACAACAAGTTTGAAATTTATAGAGCCCTCTATAGTACAAATATATTGTTTGAATTCATTTGTTTTTTATCTGTATATTGTAGATGTATACTATAAACAATAATTTTTACCGCAGGGAATTTTGCGATTTGATAATTTAAATGGCATTCCTGGGGAAAACAGTTTGAAAGTTATAGAGCCCTCTATAGTACAAATACATTGTTTGAATTCATTTGTTTTTTATCTGTATATTGTAGATGTATACTATAAACAATAATTTTCACCGCAGAGAATTTTGCGATTTGATAATTTAAATGGCATTCCTGAGAACAAAATTTTTCTCTCAAAAAAATATATTTTGCAATTCCTGATTCCCAAAATCATAGCATTTGTGTGTTTATCAAGTGTGTGTTTACATATATTACGTGACCTGAGGTCTACAAGCAGATTTTGATTGTTCCAAATGCACAGAGATGTTGTACAATTCAAAGCTAAAGAATCCCCTCTAATAAAAGTGTCAACATCTTTAAACAACTCGTATCCGCCTCTGAAAAACACACATACATCTTTTTCAAACTGGTAATTCATGTTTCTCAGCTGATTTATATACCATAGTTCTTCCAGCTTTTTCTTTTGTACCCACCCACACACAGCTGTTTCAAATATGCCATTAATTTCTTTTGGGGTTGCATGAGCATTGTTTTTTTTAACTTTCTATATTTTAGAGCTATCCTTGCCCGATGCTAGGAGGGTTATGTATGTGCAAAAGAAATTACA